GAATTCCGTGACAAGTAGTTCGGAAGTAATGTGATGAGAACAAAAGAGCTAAAGAATGCAGATTCTTCTTAATTAACAGTGGAAAATACCAAAACTGTTGCATAGGGCCAGTGCAGTTTAATGTATGATGTTGGAATAAAACTAGAGTTAGAGGAATTCAGGAAACGTGCCTTTGTTTTTGTAGCCCTTTACAGGAAGTTGCACCAGTTATTGGCTGATGACGATTGAGAGAGGTACAGTTCTTTGTGTCATATTTGTACAGAGTTCTGTAGTATGGCTGCAGCTCATATAATCAGCTACAACTTGATTCACTGATGTTTAGTGGTCTAAAAGAAAATCCTAACCTGCCACGGTTATATATATATTTTTTATAGAACTAAAAACAAATTTATTAGTTCTCCTGTGAATTTTTTAAAATTCTTTTTCAAATATTTCTCAAGTATTCTTTAACCGAGATTGTTTTAACACATTTTTAAGCATATTAGTTTTGATAACAAAGTTCATTTTCCTTTCTTTTGATGATGGTGCATGATATTTCTACTAGTTGCTATCCACTAGTTACTAGTTAAGATATCAAAAGCTTAACCATATAACAATGGTTTGTTCTGTATTGTCAAGAGGGGGCTAATAATATTGACTATGGTGGTTTTTAAAGTTTTATATATATTATTCCAGCCAAACTAAAAGAAGTAAGACTGTCTCCAGAAGAAAAAATATAATAGGAAATACTGAAAAAAAAAAAAGTCAACATAGGCTCATTCTGAAAACGTAGCCCTATTCACATTTCTGAAGATCGCAAATTATGAAGCCAGATGTACATATGGCTGCATGTCATTTTTAAAACAAACACAACAGGATGGTATGACTTTTATTCTTTTATGCGCTTACCAGCTGACCGCTTACCTCTGTATGGACAGCTTTCCCGCTGTTACCAGTTTGTCCAGTTAGCTCGCCATGTACGTCAGCAGCCTTGAGATGCATAGAGAAGTTGACTACAATGATGGGATTTGAGTCTGGCGAAGAACGGTTCAAGAAAGCAGATAAGGCAAAAACAGAAGCCAGAAAAACGTGGTAAAATCAGGCGAGGGCTTTTCTTTTTCTGGATTGCTTTTGAAAACACTATAAGTTAGGTTTAGGGAAGGAGGAGGTCAGTCGATCATTCAGTCACTCAACAGCAACCTCTGGTGACTGTACGTGCGAATGGCACTCGCAAGAGAAATTTGAGATCTCAAGAAGCATACACAGCAGCCTCTGGTGGATTCACGAAAACGTAGCTTCTTAGACGTAATTGGTGCTTTCCAGAAATGTTTAGAGCGGTATTTAATCAGAATGAGTTGAAAAGTGTCCTTGATCTGTTAAACATAATTTCTGTTAAACAAAAATGTCATAGTAAGGCTAATCAATTTGTCTTCAACTGTAATTTTTGTCATTTTACATGATCTGTTAACAAAGATTGTGGTTTATAGTCAGTGTGTGAAATCAAATCTACAGCTATTATGATCAATTAGAATGTATTATTTCATAAACACACATTAATTAAAGAAATTCTTAGAAAAGCTGTATGTAATTTAATTGAGTCTGATAGCAAGCCTGCGGCGCACTCCTCTCAGATGTGGATGGAATATATGTGAAATAGAAAGGCCTCGATCCAGTCCACTGCCTAAGAAAGAGCTGAAAGCTCTGTAGTGATGGAGAACCTCTCAGAGGAGGGTCTTTATATTTACATTAAAATGATGGACTGACCATGAAAACTATGGACGCAGCATTTTAGAAGCACCTCCAGTGCTTTAGCAAACACTATTCGCTAATATATTTATATATCGTTTTTAACAGAGGTTTTATTGTTGCGTTTGATAGTGTTAATATTTTACAATACTTTATTGCACATTTTCCGTGCATTTCAGTTTTATATTCAGTTTGACTTCAGAGATGATATTGATCATTGCATAGATTAATTTCACAGATGAGCTGGCAGGATTGACTTCAGGATCATGTTTATTCAGGGGCTACAACAGGATAGATGAAACCATTGTCAAAACTAGGGCTTTGTAGTACATGCTTTTATGTCAAGCGTTCTTTCAAGCAGCCACTGAAAAGCTTTTATGCAGCAGAGTTTGCTGATGCACTAAATGTTCAATTAGAGATAAAAGCTTGTTGTCTGTTCGGAGACATATGTTTGCAGAACTATCTTTTAAGGATGTTTGCTCCTCAGATTGCTGCGTTATGATTGTTCACTGAAGAATGAGCGTGAGTGTGTTGTGTCATTGGGGGCGTATGGTGTGTATGACATGCTCCACTGAGACACAGAAGCGTTTTACACACCCTGTTAAATTTGACAGTGTACTGTGAAAGGCACATGCCTAAATGTTCTTGTCACGGCGAACGTGTCGCCACTACAATATGCAGGCCTGTTTTTGGAATGCTTACATAGTGTACATCTCTTACTTTCTACCTCCTCTGCTAATGATTGTATATGATGAATCATTTTACTGTCTTTAAATTGGAGTGTTGAGTGCTCTGGATACTCAGAAAGTCACCATGTACATTGACGCTGACGCTATAAACATTAATAAAAGTCTATTTAAAAATGCTGGTATGCATGGGACAAAAATCGGTTTCAAGGTTTACCATGTTTTGGAAAAGGTAAGGTTTTAAAAACCACTAAAATTTTCTGTTATACTGTTCCCACATTACTGTTCCTGTAATTTTTCTTATTATTTTTTTACGAGTTTTTAAGAGTTTTTTTTAAGAGTTTTTTTTTTTTTTTTTTTTTTGTGGCAACAAAAAAAGAACCCCTATATCAATTCAGGAAATACATACTGTAGACCTGAACAGTGCATTCACTTTCTTTTATATCCTAAGAAAAGAAATGTATGCAAAGATGTCTTTTCAATTTTTGAAAAAATCTGGGTTTTTGAAACAAATGAAGACAGCAGAAGTCATTAATTCATTTTAATTATTCAGCCTGACATGTTTACTCCTCCAAAATATTTAAAATGTTTCTTAAAACTAAATATATTGTGTTAAATGGGGAAAAAAATGTTGTTTTGTACCCATACATTTAAAAATTAACATATTTAGAGCAATAGTCACAATTCTGGGAAACATTTGTGATATTTGCATTCAAGGTTATCAGACCTTCAGATTCTTATACTGGTCACTGGTCAGTGCCACTGACACTAATTTCTTAGTTTGTGCCTTATGTTGACCCAAAGTGTAGTCGCACCATGTTTCAAAAACCTTGCCCATATGTTTATTGCTCTAAAAACAGGTTTTCATTATATTTACATATTCCATTGATGCAAAAATTTTAAATGACTTGCTAGAAAGGTAAAAGGTAACATCAAGGTTACAACTGTGCTAACATTCGTGAAAAACAATACTGTGAAGTAAGGCTGCATGATTAATCGAATTTTTTTTTTAATCCCACACAATCTTAATCCAGCATCTCTGCGATTCAGCCGATTATATTTTCTAGTTCAGGAGAGAAGCAAATAGGCGGTCGCACAAGTCTTTACATTGTTTTATATATGTTGCTCAGCAACATGAACCCCAAATGGTGAACTCAAAAATGTTTCACATACTGCATTTATAAGGTACAATTCAGACAAAAATGTAATTTCTGTCTTAATGTAATGATGTATTCATGGCCACGAAATCACACGTGAGCTGACACACTGCTTACTACTGAGAGGATGCATGCTTATCCACGAATGATGTCTTTTTTAGTGAACAGAACCTCCATAGGCTGTTAAAAACAGATAATAAAGTTGTAAATAACATTCAGTTTGCTGCGCAGAGCGTTCTTTTAGTAGCTGTGCAGAGGTATAATTTTTTTGTATGTTTTTTTTCTCTCTTAAAGTGACAGCATTTAAATGAGCATATCGCATTTTAGAGTAATGATTATGACAAACATTTAGTGTGTTTTTTTTCTTTTATAGCGAACACAAAGTGTTGTGCATGAAAATAAATGTTTAACAGTGTCGGTGTAACTACTGTAGCCAATATTGTGTAATTCAAGAGGAAATCTGATAATGACAAATGTCTCATTTACCAGTGAAAAGAATAATCTAATAATGTTGTCAATGACAAATGACAAGCATATGTCACAAACATAATTATTCAGCTTCAGAATTATAAGTAGTTGTATTCTGATGCAATCGCCTTACTGTGCATTAACGACCAGGACATATTAAAAGTCTGTTCAAGTCCACCATTCCAAGTCTATACAAAATAAATGCATTTTAACCAACAGTAGTAATAATAATATTATTGTTGTTTTACCATATGTTTGAAAATGAACAGTAATAATAGCAGTATCGTGTAAAAAATGTGATCTTGATTTTAAGCAAAAAAAAAAAAAAAAAAAATTGTGACTCTCCTTGTATCCTGAATCGTGCAGCCCTACTGTGAGGGACATTTTTGCCTGGCTAAGTGACCACTAACAGACCTAAAACACAACTGTTTATTTCTATAACTGCATCTATACGCCTTGAGTCCCCAGTTACCTCATTGGGGGATCTTTCTAATCATCAAATTTTCACAATCACTCTTTCAACGTACACTGTGAAGAAAAAAAAAGTGCATTGATGACAACATGCATATTACATATGTTATTTCACAGTTCTCTCACCCTAGAGGCCTCCCTTGTCTCTGTCTTATTACACCTGATGACAGTGAGATGGTTTAATGCCCTAGTTAAAACAGTGAATGACCCGTTGTAATTGAAATCAATAAAGTTTCTGCAGCAGGTCAAGCTTAGCCCCACACTTTGCGTTAAATAATATGAGTGGGCTTAGCCACACATTCTGCACTCCTGTGGGAAAGTCATCAGAATTCCTCAAATTTGGTGTATTCCCGCTGAATGTTACTCTTAGGGCTGCAGTACACACAGCAGGGGCGGGAAGTGCAGAATCAAACATGATTAATATTGGATTGCTCATTTTGTTTATCTTCCCTTTCTGTTTTTTTTTCTATTTCTCAACCGTTCTTGGATGCAGCCACAACCAGAGGTCGACTACGTTCAGGCATCCTGTGACGGGACATATCTCCTCAGAAAACACTGACTTCATTTTACAGGACCAGTAAGTGCTTCTTTTCACTTGATTTGCCCAAAATAACCTTTAGGGTGCACAATTCCTTATTTTTTTGGAGTGCTTGTTATTCATAGCAGGTTTTCTGTATGGTTAAGCATGTTTAGGAAGATCTAAAGGGGCTTTGATGATTAAATGAAGAGCTGCAAGAGTTTTGAATTGGTCTTTAACAGATGTGTGTAAGTAATGGGATATCATATATCACACTGAAATCAAATGCCTGTGCTGGAATCTTCAAGTCAGCTGAATTGTCCAGATATAATGGTAATGAGGGTCATTACTGTTATTACATTTTTCTGTGTAGGTAGTATGGGCATTGCCTAGCTTGCATCTGTGCTGATTTCAGTTGATAGTGTCTGATAGTCTGTATTCAGAGTGTTGTGGATGCTGAATTGTATTTACACCACAAACTAGGGTTGTAAATTAGGGCTGGGCGGTATATTGGGTTCTGTGGATATATCGATATTATTCCCCAATGCGATGCGGTATTATCCAATATCGTTCATATCGATATGGTTTGAGGTCACAAGTGCGCATTCTGCATGAAACAGACCACTCCAAGGAAGCATGCATGCTTCACTTGCACAAATGTGCAAAATGCGCAAATGAATGATTCACTCCATGAGTCATGATTCACTCCATGATACAAAAGATTTGTTTTAAATGAACGAATCGTTCAAGAACGACCCATCATTTTTGCTTGTGTGCACGCATGTCCATCAGTGCCTGCAGCTGTCACAGCGGTTTTATCGATCATTTCTTGTGCAATTGACAGCAAGAACGAGCATAGAAGCAGCACCTGAATATATTCAAAAGAATAAAATGGGATGAATTTATACTGCATTTCGAAAGTGAAACCACCTCATATTCACCGATTACAAGTTCAGTATTTATTACACGATGGTCTTTTCTTTAGATTAACATTATAACACATTCTGGTCTGTTATAATGACTGTTTACATTTATATGCTTAACCAGCATTTCATCACAGTAAAACAAAAAGTCAAAACAAAAGTAAAAGTGTAGGATTTTTTTTTACATGGAGTGAAAGACTTCTCTTAAGATATCTTCGATATGTGCAATGTTTAATAATTGTGCTCAATACATGTAAATGTGTAACTAAAAACATTTACAGCTGATTTAATTGTTGATTTTTAATCACACAACTGTGGTATACAGGATTACTTATAGCAACACTGTAATTGTGACATAAAAATACTGTGTGTTTCATGTTGACATTCGTTGTGGTTCTTTTCTATCCTACAATACCTTTTGTTGTGTTACTATTTAAGTGTGCTCATTTTTTGCTCTGACAATGTAGCTATGTTTTCTATGGTTCTGTTTACTTTGTTATTTGCACAACAGCACAGTAGTTCTGTCTATAGTGTTAGGCAGGAAAAAAAACTGTACTCTATTTATTTTTCAAAGATTTTGTTTATAACTTGAAGTTTTGTGCAACAGTTTTAAGCAGGAGAAAAACCTGTACTGTGTTTTATTTATCAAAGATGTTGTGCAGCTGTTTATCTGTAAACAGAGAGGGAAACCCCTGTGTTTGAATTATATTTTGCTCAAAAATGTTTTATAAAGTCTTAATAAAGGCTTTAACTCTCAAGTAACCATTTGTGGGACAATACAGAATATATCGTATACCGTGATTCCTCCTAAAAACACAGGATATGATATTTTGCCTGTATCGTCCTGCCCTAAACTGTATGTGTATTCATTAGGGCTGCACAAAATACAATGTAGTTTTTAACCACTGCAAGTGGAGTAGATGTGAATCTAATGTGAAACGTCTTGTTTATGCTGTTTCTGGTGTTACACAAATAAAACTTCAGAAGACATTATATAGATCTTGCTAAACATTGTATCATGCAGATTCGGTCCATTGTTTAGAGATTTAAATGATAAATGGTTTGTGATTCTTTTTGATGTGTTTTGACAGATCCCTGTGTGTAGGCCTTACTATCCCATGCGGCCATTATATAGAAGTTATGAGTGACAATAAAGCAACAAAACTGATGCTTGTAACATTGGTTGGCCCAGGATGTTTTCTTATAAGTGAACACAGGCAGTGACAAACTTTAAAGTACTGGACGATTTTAGTTCCTTTAATATAACTAAATACAACTTGTACATAATAGTATTGACATTGTTGTATAATAGATTGACTTACTGCTTACATTGAGTCATATTTATAGAAAAGGAACTCGTACTGACTCAACGTTCTTTCTCTGTTAGCTTGATTTTGGTGCTCCACACCCATTATAAATGTATTTAATCGGTGAACTCTTCAGCGATTCTGTTATGGATTTAAAAACTTGAATACTTCGGTTATCAAAATAAAGATACTGCAGCAGTTACTAAAAAATAGCCTAAAGACTGGCTATATTCTTTGTGGCATCACTATGTCCAAGAATGCAAATCTGAGAACAACTGGCAACAAATAAATGCCAGGATAAAACGCAAGTAAATTTTATGCATGTTTAAATGTTTTGGGATTGGGGGGATTGACCCCTCCAAATTAACCTTTGATCCCCCATGAAGGATGTCATAACTAGATGTATGGGGGTCAGCTCTTTAATAGCGAGAAATAGTTTTCTCTGATTTGTATTTTTAATGTTAATAATAAAAATAGATAATATAAATATATATTTTACCACCCCTATAGCGGTTCATACTTTTGTGAATGCATAATGGCGCCAATCAGCCTATGTGAGAAAAATATTAATTCAACAGTCTGAAACCGGTAGATGTGCACCAACGTTAGACATTGTAAGTGTTAAAAAAACACTTTTCTAGTAAAATAGCTGTTTGTATCTAGATATAACCATAAGTCAAATTAGAAACAGTTTTTATGGTTTAACCTAAAGTAACCTCTGAAATAGCTAATTAGACTTTACTGTAGGCCAGAATATAATAAATATCCCTCAAAACAGAGAAAACTTCACCCCCTATTCGTCAATGTATAATTCACACCCTGTTTATACTGTGATAGCAGGAGGTTTTAATCTTCCTAAACTGGATGCATATGAAACAAATGCAAAAATTCAAAGTGTTGATCACTGAAGTTTAATGTTTAAATTTCCAGATTTAATCATGTTGTATTCATCTACTGTTTGACGTTTCCTTGTTTGTTTTGTGTCTTCCGTGTTGTGGTTGTAAAAAGACAATTCTACGTATAAATAAACGTAATTATTGTCAAAGAAAAAAAAAAATGCCTAAGCTTAGGTCAATTTGTTGCCACAAGCACCCTCTTGCTCCGTCATTGCTGTTTAACTTCACATGACAATGACAACATGACAAATGTACTGTAGTACATACTGTATAGGAGAAACTTTTTACCAAGTACTTAAAAGAAGAGTGTACCCAGGGTATGGATTTCAGATTCAGCCTTCGTTACTGCTTTGAATCAATCAAATTACTTGTTCAGAAGGATTCTTGTTTTACTCACCGAACCACAAATGTCAAACTCACAATGAAAGAGATCCAGAGGAATGGTAATGGAATCAATAAGGAACAAAAATCATTAATTGGAATTGGAGGGTTGGTTTTGTGGGCAGACTTGTTAAAAAAAATCTATTATTATCAATAATAATGCTTAAAGTGGCTAGAATTCATAAACCCATGTTATTAGTGATACTGGGTGTGGTCAAGTGAATGACAGCCAGCAACATAGTAACAGCATAGCAATAAGTAATAATTTAGGAGACTTAGGAGACATTTATGCACAATGCGTCTTTGCAACAAAAAACGCCAAACGCAACACTCAGGAACAGATTAAAACAGTTGTTATGTGAACTTGCTGAATTAAAAAAGCCTCCAATGCTTGGAGTTGGCGTCAGAACCCAAATATCGGGTTGGCGTCAGAACCCAATGTCAGTCAATGTCCAGCCTAAAATCAACCAAATATCAACTTTTAATTATGTTACACTTTGACGTAATGTGGACATTATCACTATAACATCTATCAGATAATGGATTTTGGTCACTTTCCAACATAACCTAAAATCAACCAAATATCAACGTAATTAGATTTTTTTGGATTTATTGGACGTCAAAATAGCGCTGTCCTTAGACACTGGCTAGAGATTTAATTTTGATCACCTGACGTCATGACCTAAATCTAACCTAATATTAACGTCTTATGATGTTGTGTGCCTGCTGGCATGCCATACTCTAGCACTAAAGTAAAAAAAAAAAAAAAAAACTTTTGCTATTCAAATAAAATGTGCACCACAGCACATGTTCCTTTCCTCTTCGTCTCCATTAATTTCTGTCTTCCCATATGTCAGTAAGCTGAGCAGGGATTTCTACCTCATCGGTGGTGTGAGGGTTAAGAGAGCTCAGATTTACATGCCCCGCTGAGACAGATCTCATTCTGATACTCGCTAACGCCGGAGGAAAGAACGAGCTGAGGGCTTGCTGTTTATTTAGCATATTCTGCTGCCTGCTGAAACAAACCCAGGTGAACACCGTTGCGAAGTTCAGCGCTCCTCCTATCACTCCATGTGCTCCATATAGAGGTGGGCTCATGGATTCAGAATGTCGGGTTCTCATAGGAATATCGCACACGACCGTCAAGGCCATTTCTCATGCAGATGACGGGTAAGTAAATGTTGCTGCCAGGGTTGATTGATGCTTCTCATTAGGAGCACAGCGCGTGGAGGACCTGTGCCAAGTTCAGGCTCAGATTAACCATCATCGTGAGAAGCCAGAAGAATGATTTGAGCATCAAAGAGGGATCTAGTTATTAGTTTACCAGCCTCAAACCTCTTGTTTGTGTCCCCCGAGAGATATGGATCTTGAGCAAATGTGTTAAAGACGCAAGTTTGTCACTTGCAGCTGTGAAGAAAAAGATGCTGAGACCTTTAATGTTCTGTCGGCTCTTGAATGCCTGTGGTTTGTACAAGAGAGAGAGAGAGAGATAGTGAAGTTGCAGGACATAACTGGAATACTTACCACTACTGGGTGCTCATAAGTGCTATTTT